TTAATGTGCATGCTTAGCAGGCTGGCCCATTTTTTTTCCAGCTCCCCTCTTCTTCTACTTAATCCTGCAAAGATATACTGACACAACTTGCAGTGGATTTAACTAATTAAATAACCTATGCATGATGGGTGAGCTGTGCTTGTGTATACAATTAGGCCATCTTGCCTGTCTGATCTGTGGATTAATCTCTGGACCAAAGCATTGACTTGCATCCCATCATTGCCAGTACATCAACAAATCAGAAGCCCCCTCCCCTTTCCTGCTGCATGTTCTTGGCTCACTTATTTAATCAGCAGCATATTTTGCACATCCCCATTCTTTAATCATTCGCCGGAAACATTTTCAAATTTAAATATTTTAAAAAACCATCCTATTAATCTAGAAGATGTGATAAGGGCAGGAAAGTCCTCCTCTTGCAAGTCAGGGAGCTGTTCTCAGTTCTCACTGGGGACAGAAGATTCCTCCCATCCTTCCCTTTGAGAAGAAATGCGCATTAGTTTAACCGGTGGTGCATAATGTATTGTGCAAGATGCTGAGTTTGTATGGAGATTAGGTGTTTGTCCACATGCAACTGTGCCCAAGTCAATTAGGTTTTCTTCTAGTTTTATAGGTGTCGGCTAATTTCAAAGAGGGAGAAATCTCTAGGCTTTGATTCTTTCTTTCTTCTTTTTGTTCTCACCAGCATCAGCAAATCCCCTTGTTTGGTGCTGATGAGATTAGGGTGACCTTGAGCTCACATGGAGCCGCCCCGTTTTGTAGGTCATTGCCGCGTATTAAAATGCGGCGAAGAGAAAGATAGGACCTCATGGCGTATGATTAGTCAATAATCACCCCTCTAGTCAAGGAAATTTACAGATCAGAAACTTTGCTGATATGTGTGTCTTTGCAAATAGTATGCTGCGTACATGCTAGATCATGCTCTTTCTTTTTGGTTCCCATGTCGAGAAGAACCAAATGGATGGATGTTCTGCAAAACAGAAACCTTGTGGGCTCATGCAGAGAATCAGCAAGACACTGTAAAATTCTGAATCCGAAGACTTTGCACGAGTCCCAAAGCAAAGCGGTTATCGTGCAAACCAAATGGTTGTATGTTCTGCAGAACAGAAACCTTTGTGGATTCATGCAGGGAATGATGTCAAGAGGCGAAGGACATTGAGAACTTCCAAACTTGAATGAAGACTTTAGGTTGTTGTGCATGAGCCAAAACTTGTCTTTCTGTTCATCTGTCACTATAGACAGAGTCTTTGTTTTTCATGGGTGAGGAGCTTGAGCAGAGATAAAGAAAAAGGGGGTTAGAGTCACACCCACACTAAGATTTCCTGAAAACAACTGGTGTGCACAAAGGACAAAGTCTCGAGACATGCATGGTGATGTGAGCTGCCAAACTGAAGCAGGTAGCCACTCTGCAGCTTGGCATATAATCTCAGTCCTACTAACCATATGCCATATGGAGTGCCATTCACCGACAGACAGCTGGTGAACACTTGTACTCTTCGTAAACGAGCACACGAAAACAGGTCGATTCGCCTCGATGAATATTACGAGTGGTGCCATTGTGCCAACTCAGTCTGTTCCAGAACTTGGTGAATGTGAAAGAAAAAAAATTATGGTTGGCATCCAAGTCCCTCATCATGGCTAACCTGTGTCAGAAAGGTCCTTGTTTATGGATGCATTTCATCTCTTCTTGATACTTGCAGTGCAAATCCTTCTGGATCCTGACTGTTCTGTCTCTTCCTGGCCTTCGTAATGATTGACATTTGGAAGAGGCCTTGTCATTGATGATTAATCCAAGAGCCGGTTTCATTGCAAGAACAGCTCATGTCAATGCTCCACCCGTATCATTGGTGCACAAGTCTGACCTTCATCGCGCCGATTATTGGATAACAGTGTTTTCTTACTACGCAAATTTGATCATCCGAAGAGGGCGGCACATTCTCGGATTATCAGCGCTCGCGTTTATCTCAGAATGCTCTCTGAATTTTAAGTTCAGTAAAACTCAGAAGAAAATAAACTAACTGTTGATGATCCAAGTGACCTATCATATAAATAATCGCCGATTAGAGAAACATCCCAGTTACTGACTCGAGAACAAAATGTGTTCCGAGTGCCAGCGAGCATCCTTCCATCCACACAATCATTAGCCCGAGGCCAAAACCGAGTGAATAACCCTCGAGAATCTTTGAGGAAGGAGGTGACATCCTCTGACCAAGCCTCCAAGCTCATGATCTGAACCATGTGCAGCCATTACCAACTCAATTCCACGGGACTAAACTAAACCGGGCAGCGAAATGCAGCAGCCCTTTAAATCACAGGGTGCACATGGAGCCTGGGGGAAGAAAGTCCTAGCGCTGCCACTACCTCTGCTGCTGCAACAGCTCACATTCTTGTCTTGTGAGACAGAAGAGGAGGAGAAAGCTTAGGGGGTATATCAGAGGAGGGAGAGGGGAGGCGGCATCGGTCGATGGGGTGCCGGTCCTGCGACAAGCCCAAGATGAACTACAGGAAGGGGCTGTGGTCTCCTGAGGAGGACCAGAGGCTGAGGGACTACATCCTCAAGCACGGCCTCGGCTGCTGGAGTGCTGTTCCTGCAAAAGCTGGTGAGCTCCCTCTCTGTCTCTGAATGTAGGAGTGATTAGTTGCTACTTCTTTCCCCTTTCATGCATGGAAATTGCTCCATGCCAATGCTTGCAGAAACAGCTTATGGCTGATTGTGAATCATAGTCTACTAGTCCAGTAGCATTAGCAATAATTTGATCAACCCGCATCGTTTTCAATGGTTTTGTTTGTATTTATCTTGGAGTTCTACTTGGAACCTTACATCCATGATCCAGCTCTAGTCTTGACATATTTAAAAAAAAAATCAATATACTCTGCTATTTAGCACCAATGCACCTATAAAGAGCTAATTGCCTAGAAATCTGTTTGACCTTCACATGATCCAAGCTTGAACATAGTCCCCATGTCAGTCAAGAACTCAAAATTCTAGCACAAAATGTGATGTGGCAATTTGAGCTAGTTGCCAGTATCTCTGAAACACTTCTTTTTTACTTGAATTATGCCTGAATTTGTTGTGCTCTGTGTGTTTGTTTGGTAACTCGCAGGTCTGCAGAGGAATGGCAAGAGCTGCCGGCTGCGTTGGATCAACTACCTGCGGCCCGGATTGAAGCGCGGGATGTTCTCTCAGGAAGAGGAGGACGTTGTCATCAACCTCCAAGCCAAGTTGGGCAACAAGTAAGGAATCCTCACCTAAACATCTCGAAAACTTGAGAACAATACAAAACAAAAACCAAAATTTCGACTACACAAACAAAAATCAACTGAATTTTGAAATCAAAACCCCTTCGAAAGCGGCATGTTTCGCGGCGAAAAGATGACACAATTCAGACTTGGTTTTCCATGGCGCTGATGGTCTGAGATCTCTGTTCTTTGGTCAGGTGGTCGCAGATCGCGATGCATCTGCCGGGGAGGACGGACAACGAGGTGAAGAACTACTGGAACTCGTACCTCAAGAAGCGGGTGATGCAGCTGGGCTCCAACTCCGGCTCCAACCCGGCCAGCAAGAACGCCTCGCCGGAGCTGCTCACGTCCATGAGCGCCACCACCGAGCTCATCATGACCAGCGGCGGCGGCGGCGGCGGCAGCACGGCGACGTCGACCCACGACCACGACGCCAACATCAGCAGCAGCGGCGCCATCTCGGCCACCGAGCCATTCGTCGACCATCAGCACGAGCAGCACCACCAGCAGCAGGCCAGGAACTACGTCTTCGCCGACTGGATGCCGACCGCGGCGGCGGCGGCGCCGGGGCCGGAGAGCTACTCCATGTCCGCACACTGGCCGGCCTCCACGGCCAGCTCCGGCAACGTCACGCCGTCGCACGGCGCCTTCGTCGGGGACCAGATGAGCGGCAGCAGCTACGCCGCGCTGCAGCACCCGCACCAGCACCACCACCACCAGAGCGCGGTCACCGTGGCGGGCGCTCATGCCAGCGCCGGCGGCATGGTCGCCGGAGGCGGCTACTTCGACCTGCTCAACATGGGCGACATCTACGGCGGGTTCAGCACGACGAACGACGATCTGCTCTTCTGAAGCTCAGAGCTAAAATTCTGATGATGCCGTGACCCCTGTGCATGTGTGACAAACAAAATTTGTTCTTTGTGTTCATGTTGTGTATGAAAAATGGAAAGAGGTGGGTATACTGCTTGATTAATTTGATTCTTCTTCTGTAAGGAAAAGTTTAAATGTGATCATGTTAATTAGAGGGAATTCCCCTTAGGTTGGACATAATTCTTTCGTTGTTGTTTTTCCGCAATAAAAAGGCGTATCGATTTGTATCGTGTAAAGTGCAAATGTGAGCTCAGTTGTAATAGATTTGGTAAATTTTAGCAAATATTCGTCCCGGGGGTAAATTTTAACAAGTTATGATGTTGAACTACACTTTATCTATCCATGTGAGTGGAGAAAATGTATGATTGTAATGTCTTGCCATCTTAATTATGAGATTGAATTATGCTCGAGTGCTTCCTAAAAGCAAAGATAAAACTTTGAAAAAGCCAAGGTCAGTTGGAAATTTTTCTAAGAAATACAGCTAGCAAAAAGAAGTCAACTGAAATTTCCTACTCCTAAATTCTTATGAAATTTCAAACTGTGCCTTTCCATCATCAGTATACGTTTGGCAAATTGTGGCCTGCAACAAACAGGAATTAAATCATGCACAGCTCAGTGCTGCTCCAAGAGTTCTTGCATTCAAAGAATATGGACTTGAACTCAGTGGAGTTGATACAGAAAAGGCAGTAATAAAACACCAACATTTCATAGATGTTCATTCTAAAGTAAACCTTACACAGATGTTGCAAAACTGTGTAACCTTACATGCTTAACTCTAGTAGATATTCTCGCCAAAGGAGAGAGGTATATAGATAGCACTCTGATTTCTCGTTACATATAATGTGATACTACAATGACATGGATGACAAAGGAACAAAAGGGCAAACAGGAACTTAGTTCTTCTTGCGAGAAAAGTGGTTGTCGTTCGGATTCCGTTTCCCGCTGAACATTGCGAGCGCCTTCCTTACTGGAGGTTTCAGCTCCACCTTCTTCTCGCCGCTGTGCGTGAATATGTCCTCAGCGCCCAAGAAATCATCCCCCTGTAGCAAACAGCAATGGTTATGAGAGTTGTTCCTCTAAGAACTAACTGATATACTCTGTGCCAGTAGAAGAGGGAACAGAGACACCATGATCGTATATAAAACTAACTTATGGGTGTTTATGGAATTAACATCTCAAAATTATGTGTCCTTGTCAACACGATGGTGTAAAAACTAGCAGGGGTACTGACCAGCTTGCTTGACTTCTTCGATTTAGGATGCAGAACCTTCTGGGGAAGTTGGTCTTCACGTAAAATGGGATTCTTAATGACGGCATCTCTTCCACCTTGGGGCATTGGAAGGGAAAACTGCAAAGTAAACAGGCAATTAAAAACAACATCATCAATGTCACTACATGAATCAACCAAAGCAAAGGTTAGGCGCAGGGAAAAGTTTTAACCAAAGTATCCAGAAAAAGACATGAAATGAACATGAAGGCACACATGGAAAATCATCACTGCAAGATATTTACAGTCTGCTTCACCAAAGAGAGATCAGATGTCTCTAACAAATATCAAGGCACACATATGGAACTGTTGAAAAGCTCCTGGCAGAGTTCTGGGTATTCATCACCATTGATTCTAAAGAGCACAATTCTTCACTGAACGTCATGGAAAGAAATATGCAGATGTTCTATGATAAACTTATCACATGTGTAATTATTTTAATTTCTTGGAGAACAGTGGAACATACAGGGAAGAGGGAACAATTAACCAGAGCTCACACACTTAATCACAGAAGTGACAGAACAAAAGGTCTAGGGAATAGAAAAAGGAGATCATTAAGTGTGTAGTTAACCAGACTCACTTTTGTGCCTCGGAGAGTAACACGCGGGCGCTGTGAAGCCATAGTGATCCCATTTTCACCAACTGTTACTGAAACCTTTCGCAAGGTGCCACCATTGCCACACTTTGGACAGAATATTTTTCCAATCTCTTGTGTCACCTTGTAGCAAGCATGACACCTCAGAACCCACCTGCCAATCAGCATCAACACATGAGAGACAGATAAGAGTGAGCAAGCTTCTATAACTAGGGTACGAATTTAAATGGCTGTAGAGTAGCAAGAGTGGTCCGAAAATGTCAAATTCACATACCTATGCAACTGACGTATTTGCATGCCACCTGGTGCCAAGAGACGAAGACCAATCTGGAGGATAACGTTTTGCATGGCATAGTCACTAGTAACACAGGCCACAGTTGATTCAGATAAGGACCTCAGGGCCCAACTCTGCTCACTGCTCTCGTCATCTACAAAAGATGCACTGACACCTTCCTCGGTCTCGCTTTTTATATCCAAATTATCCAATTGTTCAGCGCATGCATCAGTATTATTTCTGCCCTCAACAGTATCAGCATTGCCTACCCCATTCTCACCATTAGATAGTTGATCTCCAGCAATTTTGGGTTCATTCTCTTCAAGAGATTCCAAGCTGTCAGTATTTGACCTTGTTTTCTCTGGAACAACAGAAGGGCCATCCACTGAATCCAAACCATTTTCAGACAAGTGATCTTCATCGACTGATGGAGCAACAGAACTTGTCTCAAAACCTTGTTCAGATGCCTTGAGGGCATCGCGCCTCGCTTTCCTCCGCAAATATTTTCTGTGCGTGGTGCGGCCAACAGCAGGCAACCAACCTTCATTGTTCTCATCATCTTCCCAAGGAATACATGCATCTTTCTTTGAAGGCTGAAACTCTTCACCGCCTTGTGTCTCAGAAATACTGTTGGTCTCGCTTGTAGGGATTTCTTGGTTCTCAAGATCCTTCAGTGGGAGGATCCGAGAATTAAGATCCCCGCCTGCCTCAGACATCTTATCCAATGCTTCCCACTCTGCTAGGTTAGGCACATTAGAGCCCCAGCCTGGCAGTGGTGCCTCTTGCAAGGTCCGGACGCTGACCACGTGAAGTGGAGGTGGCTGCTCCCGCAAATGGCTGGTCCCATGGACCTCAGCCTCCAACATGTATGCTAGAGCGATAATCTTCATATCAACATCTGAAAGTGTCTGGAGATCTCCTGTTTCCCTGGCAAACTTGACAACTGCAAGCAATGATGATATACAAAGTTAGTCTCGCCTATGAATATGTGGTTCTTAGGCAAGAGAAATTTTTACAGAGGCATGGTAATTCTATTCTACAGAAGTAACTTCAAGACTATGGACAACCCAAGATAATTTGACAGTAAAATGCTACTTCTATCGAACAGAAGTAACTTCCAGGCCACGGGCTACCAAATGTCAACATGTTGCAGTGGGAAAACAAAGTATAACAACTACCAAATTCTAGCCAAACAGCAAGTAATGCCGACTCCCAAATAATCTATGGACAGCATGATATCCACCATCCTTTTAAACAGCACCCTGTTGCATACTCAAGGTCACTCCAAACAACAAAACACTGAATAAACACTACTTGATGCCCAATTTCTGCTAATGACAAGTAAGATAAAAAGATCAAAACCAACCCAGTCACGCAAACCATCATCCTGTACATCGTGCAACATAAACTACCTATAATAACCTGGTAAATAATTCGATGACGAAAAATGAACTTTTTAGTCCATGAAACTGCAGAGTTTTAGCTCTATCAGCAAATGAAAGTGTCAGTATGAATGAAGCTCTGTGCGGGCTAAACAGTGGACCTTTCTTGACGAACTCGGGCGCGGGCTCGACGGTCTCGACGGGGATGGGGAGGATCACGAGCCTCCGGCGCGCGGCGGCGTCGCGGACCTCCTCGAGCACCTCGGGCACGGTGACGAGCCGCCCCGCGGCGGAGGCCAGCGCGGCGCCGCCCGAGATGACGGCGTTGGCGTCGACGACGGCCACGGCCAGGCCGCTCGAGTTGGCGCAGCTGGACACGATCCGGCTCACGGCCTGCGCGGGCGACTCCTTGGCCACCGCCTCCCGTCGCGCCGTCGCGGCCGCGCCCCACGCCACGGGGCCCCCGAG